CTCCGGGGCAGGCGGGAATCGAACTCATGAGGAAGTGGCTTTGGCTTCTTAGTGCAGTGCTTTAACCCGCTGCACCACCAGGGAGGGCCTAAATGCTTATTTCTTAACCTGAGAATGATGTCTTTTAAAATTCGGATTGATAGTGGCAGTAATTAAGTCCACCTACATAGTCTTGTGAGTCAAGTTCTAAGTTTGAAAATTGACTCTTGTAGTATTTCCTTCTTTGTTGGCTACCTCTGGAAATAGCCTTCAGAGAAATCCTGCTAAAGTCAATTAATTGCCTTTGAATTTTAACTATTAAAGACTCTCCCCAACTGGTTAATTCACATTTCTATACCATGTTACTGATTTTGCCCATCAAGGTTTTATTGTGGAATGATGTGGAATTTTAAGGATTCTTAGTGAGAATTTGTCTTATTTCATATGTTAAAATTATCTGTATAGGAGATTCTTGTCTATTATATGCCAAGAAGACCTATAGTGAAGAATGATTTTCATTTTTCCTATAGTGAGTCATACAACTTTAGAATTAGAAAAGCCCTTGATACTATCTATTCTAACCTCTTTACTTTCTCTGAACTTCTCTTCTAGTGCTATGCACTTAATAATTACCCTTGAGTTGGTGTCTTAGCTTTACTAAAGGACAGGTAGAAACTTTTAGGCCCTCTATAAATGGAAGATTTAATTTAAGAGTATTAGTTCACATTTGGCTGTATCCGTTTGAGTGCTGAGTGAACTTCGATAAGCAAACATTAAGTGTTCTTGTGGGAAATTGTACCTGAAAGCGTGAGAGGTGTAATTTTTTTTTACATTGAATACTTTTCTCATGTTCTTTGCTTTCTGCATTTTTTATCACTGTTGAGTCTTCTGTGAGACTTTGTTCCTGGTCCATGAATTTTTGTAGTTTTCTGGCTATTGTAATGGCACAGTTTCTCAAGACAATTGGTTTATAGGAAGTTGAAATTGAGAAATGACATAGTCATTTGCTTTAACGAGATAATACAGTGCCTTCTATTAATGCAAGAAATATTATTGAGAATGCACTTATGTTAAGGGATCTAGTTTATGTTGATTAAATAATGCTGTTATGGGGCCTCCCTGGTGGCGCAGCGGGTTAAAGCACAGCACTAAGAAGCTTAAGCCACTTCCCCATGAGTTCGATTCCCCCCTTCCCTGGAGCTGATCCACAGGCGTGGCAGACCTCTCCTGACCCGCTGCTCCCCTCAGCAGTGTACTTCGTCGATCTGCCTGTTCTGCTCCCCACTCTGTCTCTGGTGAAGCCTCTCACCCTCCGCATCTCTGGCCTGTACCCCATTCTGTATGAATAAATAAATAAATCTTTAAAAAAAAAATGCTGTTATGGTGCTTGTTTGTATATTTACTTTTGCTTTTGCAGTTCTTTTGTATATACTTCTAGGAATTGGAGGGTCATGATAAATTTTAACTTTTGAGGAACCACTGATTTTCCTGTAGCAGTTGAACCATTTTCAGTGTGTATAGGTTCCAGTTTCTTGACATCTTTATCAATAGTGGATATTTTCCATAACTCTTTTGGTATTTGATGGTATTGTAAATGGTATAGTGTTATTTTACTTCATTTTTTGTGTGTTGTGTGTATATAAATACATTTATTTTATAAACCTTTTATTGATTTTCTTAAATTTACTTGGTAAGTTATTATTTATTTATGTGTTTATTGGATTTTCACTGTAAGCTTCTGATTTCCAAGTGTTTACTAATTGTTCCTTTTTCATATAGTTATTCTGGGCATAAAAGCCTTGTGAATAGCTTGGAAAACATTTACCAAAATTTAAATTCTTTCTGTATTTTTTCATTGCCTTGTGGTTTGTTCTATTGCTTTTCATTTTGGTCTTTTTAAATTTTTTTGGTATTTCTTAAGTATGTGGTCATCCTTGGTTATCTGTTCATAATTATTAAATACTAAACAGGGTTGGTTTGGGTGCTGAGTGATTTCCTCTTAATTTTTTGAGGTTCATTTAAACACACACACATACACACACAACTTCTCTACATAGGATTACTGATTGAAAACTCTACATGAGTTTAAAAGCCAGAAGCAGCCAGATAGATTGGGAACCTAATGCTTATTATGGACCTCAAGTACTATGAGTACATTTTTTCGTTGTTTTATTCCTTCACTCCCTATCTCATACCTCCATTTTTGGATATTTGGAGCACCCTCAGGCTCAGGCGCCTTCTCTTTTGTCCCTAGCACCCATGCTGGATGCTCTTCTCGAGCAGATCTGGATATGCCTGGGAACCAAAGTTTATACAGGAAGTAAGACTGTCATGAGTGGCTCTGCTGTTTTGTGAGCAATCTTTTAATTGCCTTGATTTCCCTATGCTTTAATCCTGCTTCTTGACCTCGAGCTTGGCTTTTTTTCTGTTTAGGGGTTTGGGACAGACCTTGCCTCCTTATAGTCCTTTCCTGTGTTTGTTTTGCTTGAGTTGTTGTTACTTCCACTATGATTTCTCTTTGTCAGTTTACTCTGATCTGTTTCTTCTAGAAAGCCTTTCCTTTCTTCTTTCTTTTCTTGTTAATAAGACTATTACTTTTAAACTATTGTGAATTTATTTTGTGTAATTGTGAAAAATTTGCCCTTAGAATACATGCATCTACTACCCTACTTAAAACATAAATGCAATTGAAGCTCCTTATTCTCTTTTCTGATTGTACTGCATTTCCTCTCATGCATCCATTAATATTATGTGTGTGTTTCTAAACAATAAAGAACATTGTTTTGAATGTGTTTGAGCTTTGAATAGTGATATACTGCATGAATCCTTCTGCATCTTGTTTTTTTCCACTCATCCTGGCTCTTTTGTTTATTGTCTTAGGATACTATTTTTCCTTCTGTTCAGTGGTATTTAGGTAGGAAGAATAAGTCAGCCCATGTATTTCTTACTAGTACATTTTTAAAAGGGAAATTTAATACTTTTTTAATATATTGTCTCTATAGACGTGTAGGAGAAAGGACTTGGTGTTACCACCTTCTTGTTTCAACTGGTAACGTAAGTCAATATGATACCTAGCCATGTTAGACAAGGTAGGCAATTGAGTCTTGCAATTGAGTCTTGCTACTGACCTCTATTTGGTGTCACAAATCCCTTTAGAGAGGTAGAAAGACCATTCTTTCATGTTTAGGGTTTCACAGAGTTTAAATGAAGATTTGGGTTCTTATTGCTTGAAGGGTTTTTAGAGGTCAGTTAGTACAAACTGTATTAAAGAAATTCAGACCCAGTGGTGGTGAGTGACTTGTCTGAGACAATCCAGGGGAGAAATAATAGGAATTAGAATACAGCTCATTGTTCTTTCCTTCTGAGTACAGTGAACCAGCAGCTAGAGCCCTTTTGTTAGCACTGAACTTTGATTTTTCCTGTCCTTTAAAGTAATTATTTGAATACTAAGATTTTTATTACATAAAGATGAACATAAAATCTTTGAACTGATGCTTATTTGCTATATTTTCTTAGGATCAGAATGGTTTCAATCCCAGAATACTATGAAGGCAAGAATGTCCTCCTCACTGGAGCAACTGGTTTCCTAGGGAAGGTACTCCTGGAAAAGTTGCTGAGGTCTTGTCCTAAGGTGAATTCAGTGTATGTTTTGGTGAGGCAGAAATCTGGACAGACACCCCAAGAACGAGTAGAAGAAGTTCTAAGTAGCAAGGTAAGTGTGGAAAATAATAATTTGGTGGAGAGAAAATGTGTATGTGTAATCAAAGCAGTCATCAACAGCTTTGTATATTTCTTCACTAGCCTGTAAATAATTAGTAAAAAGAAAAATCTATAGATTGACAATAAAGGGAATATGACTTCTGATTAGTAAGAGAGAAAAGCTTTTCTCTATGGGAAAAAATTATATTACACATAAATTACCTTTGTAGATATTTAATGTGATTTTGAGTATTTGAGATAGGTTACTTGTAATTACTAGATTTTAAATATTTTAAATCATCTTACTGTTGCTACTACTACTAATTTCTAACAACCTACTCTGCTATGAGACATGCTTTTATAACACTTTAAAATTCAGAAGCATTGATTACTTCCGACAATATTAGGAGGTATAGCAAATTTACATATTACAACTTGGTACATAAACATGACAGGTCATATAGAATACAAGAATATATACTCATTTTGAACCTTTTGAAAACGTTGCTAACAAAAAAATGGAGATGAACTGTGGTAAAATTATTTCATAGAGCTTTTAAATTCTCAATAAATGATTTAGTATAGTAACAAATTTAGTATAGTAACAAGTAACCTATAGTTATTCGGTAGGAATCTGGTTTCAACCTTCTAAAAGAACTGTGACTTTTGTTTTAGAAACGAAAACAAAACCAGGAACCTTTGAGTCATTCTGTGTTGTCACAGAATTGCTAAAAGTAAAAAAAGGTGTCTGTGTCTGAGCAACAGAGCAGCATAGGGTAACTGTCCTCGTGGAGTTTATACTCTATCCTTCATACTCAGCCATTAGCCAAGTCTATCTAAATTATTTTTAATTTTCCAATTATATTGATGCACCCTCATGCCTATGTGGTTGTACATATTAATTTCTCTGCCAGGAATACTTTCTTCTACTTTATAATCTCAGGTCCTTCCTAAACTGTGTTTGTTATTTCTCCTGAACTGTCTTTTGACATTATAATATTGTCTTTTTTATTACTTATAACAGTATGATTTATTTTTTAACATAAAGTGGTATTTCCCCCCACTTCCATTCCTTATATTCCATTTAGTCTTTTCTTCAAATCCTTCTCCCTCTTAATCTAGGGTCTCAGTCTGTTTATCTAGTGTTTTTTTTTTTTTAAAGATTTATTTATTTATGCATACAGAGCTGGGGTACAGGCCAGAGGTGTAGGGGTGGTGAGAGGATTCACCAGAGATAGAGTGGGGAGCAAAACAGGCCAACTGACAACATACACTGCTGAGGGAGCAGCGGGCGGGTCAGGAGATGTCTGCCACACCATGTGGATCACCTCTGGGGCTGGGATTGAACTCATGCTGAAAAGACTTTAGATTCTTAGTGCTGTGCTTTAACCCGCTGTGCCACCAGGGAGGGCCTGTTTTATCTAGTTTTTATGGCTCTTTTCCTTCGTAAAATTGTCTCTGTATATACCCAGTATTTTGTTGTCATTCTGACATGCTTTACTACACATAATTCCCTCTTAACACCATTTTGTTGTAAATGGCAGCATTTTGTCTGAATAGTATTCCATTGTATGATATACATAACTTTTTTTTAAAGATTTATTTATTTATGCATACAAGAAGAACTGGAGTACAGGCCAGAGGTGTAGGGGTGAGAAGATTCACCAGAGACAAAGTGGGGAATAGAACAAGATCGACTGAAATACATTGCTGAGAGGAGCAATGGATGAGACAGAAGAGGTGTGCTGTGCCATGTGGATCACACTTCCCTGTGTGAGGATAAAACTTGTGTTGCAGTAACTGTGGATAGCTTCATAGTGCTGCGCTTTAATAAACCCTTGCTCCACAAGGGAAACCCTGATATACACAACTTCTTGACCCAATTCTGTGTCAATAAGAACTTAGAGTTGTTTCATGTCCTGGCTATCATAAATAGTGCTGCAATAAACATTGTAGAGCATATAATTTTTGAGTTGATGGTCTCAATTTTTTTTGATAGATGCCCAAGTGGGATTATTGGGTCATTAGTATTCCAGTTTCAGTTTTGTAAGGTAAATCTAGATTGCTTTCCAGAATGACTGCCATCAGTTTATATTTATACCAGCAATATAATCTAGTTCCTCTTTCTTCATATCCTCTCTACCATTTGCTGGGGGTCTTTTTGATATATACCATACTCACGGGTATGAAATGATCTCATTGTGATTTTTAACTGGTAAGTCTCTTACTTGAAGCAGTGATGAACATTTTCCCCTTGTATCTGTTGATCTTCTGGATAGTCTCTTTAGTGAATTGTCTGTTTAGATCTGCTGCCCTTTGAGGATTTTGTTATTTTGTTGCTGAATTTTGTTTTTATTAATATTGAATATTAACTGCTTTGCCAGCTATGCAATGTGTAAAATTTTCTTCCAGAGGAATAGCTTTTTATCTGCTTATATTTTCTCTGTGTAATACTTTTTTGAATTGAAATAATCCCAGTTGTTTCAAATTGCTTGTATTCCTTGTGACGAAAGTTGAGACTTGAAATAACTTTATTAGTGATGTTATAATATATATGGCCAATGTTTTCTTCTATATATTTTATTGTTGTAGATCCTCTATCTAAATTTTTAATTGACTTGGTATTTTTGAGTATAGAATTAGACAAAAACGCTACATCTTCCTTTTACTTGTTGCCTTTCAGTTTTCCTAGCTCCATTTATTAAAGAGGCTTTCCTTTCCCAATTGTAAAGCATCCCATGGATGCTTTAACATAAATTAAATATTAACATGTATGTGGATTTATTTCTGGGCTTTCAGTTCCATTCCATGAATTTTTTCTTTTCAATGCCAGTAACATATTGGTTTTGGTACTGTTGCTAGTTTGAAGTCATGTATATGATGCTACCATTTCTCTATTTTTTTTTTTCTTGTGGTGTTTGCTTTTTCTGAGTCTTTTGATGGTTCCATATAAATTTTGATATTTTTGTTCCATTTCTTTGATGGATATTATTAGTATTTTAATGAGGATTTCATCTAACTTATGTCAGTTTATGTAGGATACTCATTTTGATTTTACTGTTTCTCCCCATCCATGAGCATGAATTTCTTTCCATATCCTTATTTTACTATCTAAATTTTTTAATGATGTTTTGTAGATTTTGTGTAATAAATCCTTCACATCCTGGGTTAAGTTAATTATGAGGTATTTGATTCTTTCTGAAGCTACTGTAAATGGAATTATTTTCTTAATTTCTTTTTCTCCTTGGTCATTGTTTATCTATAAAAATTTTTATAAGTTAATTTTGTAACCTCCTACTTTACTATATACACTTTTGTTTGCTTGCTTCTAATAACTTTTTGGTGCAGTCTTTAGGATTTCCTATATCTGCAAATAGTGATAGTTTCACTTCTTTTTCCAACTTAGATTTCCTTTATTTCTAGTTGTCTCATTGCTCTAACCTAAACCACTAATACTAAATTTTACAGAAGTAGACATTAGGCACCCTTCTCCTGTCCTTGATCTTAAAGGGGAAACTTTAAGTTTTTTTTCACCATTATGTAGTATATTTGCTATTGATTATTACATATGACTTTTAATACATTATGATAGATTTTTTTAATTCCCATCTTGTCTAGAGTTTTTAATCATAAATGGGTGCTAAATCTTATCAAATGCTTTCTTTGCAACTACTGATAGCTTACATTTTTGTCTAAAAGATACAGTGTATTATGTTGATTTATTTTTGATTATTAAACCATGCTTGCATTCCTGGGATAAATCCCACTTGATTATGATGTATAACCTTTATATTGTTGAACTCAGTTGTCTGGTATTTATTGAAGATTTTGTATCAGTGTTCTAGGGATTTTAGTCTGTATAATTTTCCTTTGCTGTTTATCTGGTTTCATTATTAAGCATTGTAGAGTGTATTAGGAAGAAGTCCCTTTTCTTGGATTTTTAGAAACAATTTGAACAAGATGGGCATACTTTCTTTTCTCAGGGTTTTATAGAGGTCTCTTGTAAAGCCATTTGGCTCTGGGCTTTTAGGGGAGATTTTTGTTTGTTTTTTTTACTTTCATTGCTTATCTAAGCCAAAGCCTCCTGTATGAAGTGAAAAGGGTGATCAGATCCACTTCTTCCCACTGACTGGGGCTTAGTTGTTCTATGTTGGAAACCTCATCTCAAGTCCTTAATCGTCACTCTGCACCCTTACTGCTAGTTTTCCAATAATGCACCCTCTGTCCTGGATGCCAGCCCTGTGTACCCCATTATCTAGGATAGTGCTAGGTCTCCAAAACCCCTCATGGGGGTATGTGCCCCTAGCTCAGCAATTGTAGGGGGCTGTCTACAGTAGCTGCCAATCCCTTTTATGAATTCTATTGTCCCAGCATTGCTGCAAGCACAGATCAGTTACAGTTTTTCCTACCCCTTTTACTGAACCTTTGTTTCCGATGTATGTTTTAGTTGTCCATTTATCTTTCATGGGCTGTTGGCTTTGTTCTGGAATTGAATTGTGACTATATATGGGAGTGCAATGGCTCCCCTCTGCAACCATCATACCTAGCAATATAAGACTATTTTAATTTTCCTATGAAACTGTCTAATTTAATTTTCCTGTCTAGATTTTCCTGTTAAATTGAAACAGATGTCATTTTTCTTTTAGCATCTCTCAGATAGTTGGCCCATCTGAAATCTTTAGTAAATATTTCATTAATATAAAACACATTAATATTGAAGACTATAATAGCAAACAAAAGTAAGTCATCCAGGAACGTGAACATGAGCTCTGTATGTGCGGTATGTAGCCTTTCTTCCCAGATTCAGTCCCTGCTTAAATTGCAAATACAGACTTCAAATGAAGTGAGAGTTAAAGTTTAATCAAGTAGTGATGTGAAAGTATCATCAATATTCCTCTATATAAATGTGAGGGAAAAAAAGCCTAAATTTGATTCACAGTTTTATGTGTCTTTACATTATAATAATCTTGAAATCAGATTTTTAAAAATTTATTTCTTTGAGTATGCTTAAGGAATATTGAATTTTTACATTAAAATCTGTTTATATTTCTATGATACTTCTCAAGTGTTTCCAGTTTCTAATCTACATCTTTGCTTTTTAATATTTTTTCCATTAACATATTTACTCTTTTTCCCCCTTAAAAATTTTTTTTTTAAGATTTTAGGTAGCCTGTGAATTAATGGTACTTACTCAAATCAAGGGAATAAAACCAAATAAAGTGATAAATTGAGATCTGGATTTTAAAAACTTGAATGATCATTTTTAACAATGTTCTGATGTTTATACTTTTAAGTTTGCTCTAATCCATACATGCGTTGACAGTTTACATTTAACTCTGCACACTACCAGTTTTTGTCCTTGACAAATCACTTCACTTCCCTGTGTCAGATTCCTCAGCCATAAAATGGGGAAAGTAAGATGGGCCTAATAGAGTGTTTTCTGTATGAAATGATAGCAAATAAGAGTAACAAGTTTAGAATTTGTATAGATGAAATTTCTTAGTGAGCTTTCATGAGGTAAAGGGGCTATATAATAAGGTTTAGAAAGTTGAAAAATAGTGCCCCAAAATAATTTTTCCTCTCTGATAGCTCTTTGACAGATTGAGAGATGAAAATCCAGATTTTAAGCAGAAAATTATAGCAATCAACAGTGAACTCACTCAACCTAAACTGGCTCTTAGTGAAGAAGACAAAGAGGTCATCATAGATTCTACCAATATTATATTCCACTGTGCAGCTACAGTAAGGTTTAATGAAACTTTAAGGTAAGTAAAGACATTTATATATTTGAACTTCAGAACCTAATTTATGGGTCTCAAACTAATTGTGTCTTAGTCAAGCTGTTTTGAAAATGATTTGAAACTGTTCACCCAGTGATAACTATAGCTTTAGGTCTTCTGAAGGATTGAAGGGTCCTTCAGAATTTCCTTCTTCTTGTAAGTTTAAAAACAATAGATATGTATGTTTCATAACATACACAAAGAGTTACCATGAATTTTAACATTAGACAGGGAGGAGGCATTATTGAGAAGTATGGAGAGAAGAAGAAAAAAGTTTACCTTGAATAAGAGTATTAATCTTAAAAATGTATATAATGTTTGTTTTCTTTCCTGGATAATTGTGGTATAGTCATTATTGGATTAAAGAGAAAATTAGATGTTTTTAAGGTGGAAATTAATTTGCAAACTGGCAACATTAATTAGGATGAAACTCATCAAAGTAACCTTTATGAGGAGAAGAGGAGGAGAACCAAAGTACTGTACTTTCTGGGAACCCTCTCTGTTCCCCTGAGGGTAAGCAGGGCTATCATTAATGAAAGGGAAATCTGTCCATTATTATTCTTTCTTCTTTGCTGGAGATACCATAGTGGAAGGATAGACCGGTGAATAAGAAAATTTATTGTTCTTCTTTTCCTTGTCAAGTCATGTATATTACCTGCCTCAGGCAAGGCACAAGACTTTTTCTCTCTGAAGTTATTCCTTATTTTCAGTGACCCAAAAAACACTGTCACCATCCTCAAGAACCTGTAACAGAATATCCTTTGTGTACTTCACCCAAAACATTACTCTGTACCCAACCCTCTTTGTTTTGCAAATGCAAGAGAAAATAACACATTGCCTTACAGTCTAGAGGACAGTAACCTCTCTGTGAAATGCCCTATTTGTTGTTGTTCCATCTGGACAGATTTTTGCCCCTTACTTGAGATAAAAAAGGGGGAAAAAGGTACACTTATTATTATAAGACCATGACCAGTTATTTTGTTGAAATTTTTTTTATTTTTTTACTAGTATGTTTTTATAAACATTCAAGTACTGTTAACTGAAAAAAAAAAGACTCAGAAATTTTTTTCTCATGAATTATTTCTTATTCTTGCCAACACAGAATGTATTGTCCAGTCCTCAGGAACCTGTAACAGAATAGTCTGTGTCTACCTTTCCCAAAATAGTACCCTTCTATCCCCATTGTTATGTCCATGACATCAGAGCACTGCTTTACAGTCAAGTAGACCAGATGCTATCTCTAGCACATCCCTGCCTTTAAAAAAAAAGTTTAATTTTTTTTCTTAAGTATTGAAAAGAATTTTGGAAATTAATTAAATCTATTTCTAAAAAAAAATTCATTTTGTCCCTAATTTTACTTACAGAAACAATTCCCTAATTGTACTTTTATAATTTTTTGATGTAAAGATGTTCCATGATGTTGATATACCATAATTTATGTAATACCCAGTATAGTATATTTAGGGAATTTTAATTTCTTTCTGTTTGACAAGTTAGATACAAGTTTTCCTCTGAGTTAATTTCAGTAAGTTAACAAGATTAATACCAAAATCATTTCTGTAATTCCCAATAATCTGAAAAAATATCTTTCAGATTATTTCATTTCATAGTGTGAACAACAGTGGATTGCTTTTTGTCATCATTTTATCATTGCATTACTTATACATTTATTTCCATTTTTTTCCTTTTACGTAATAAGCAATTAAATAAAAATATAAAGCAAAAACTACCTACTATCTTACTACCTTATTATTTACTGAATGCCTGTTTTTAGGATTATTTTAGGAATAATGCCAGGTACATGCAAGCTGTATTTTACTTCATTTAATTTTATACTAATCCGGTAGATAGACTCTTATTTATCATTCCCACTTACAGATGAGGAAACAGAGACCTGAATGATTGAATGACTTTACAAGGTTACTAATTCTAGCTGATTGGTAGGCCAAGTTAGGATTTGAACCCAGGTTTAATTTAAAAATCTTTATAATGTATATATTTTAAAAGATATTCATATAGCTCTCCCATGGTTTTATAGTTGTATATTAAAAAATATTGATATACAGATCTCCCATGTTTTTATAGTTATATTCATTCATTGTGGTAGAATACCAACTTTATTAATCCACTCTATTCATAGTAAATATTTGGACCCTTCACATTTTTGCTATTGCTAGATGACTTTTCACTACTTTTTTTTGACTTTGTGAAATTGTTTATTTTTTAGTAAATTTCAAAAAGGGAACTCTTTAGGCTGTACTGATCACCAGATTTTGATGTTGGGGTGGAGTGAGGGGAGTTTCCCTACACCACCAAGCAGTTTTCCAAACCCAGCACTAGCTGGGTTTTGTAGAATGCAACTTAATTCTGATGCTATCTTCAGTAGATAGTATCAGGTGCCACGGGTGAACAATTCAGTCCTGAAGACTGGCCTCTTCAACACCCAGATATCATGCCAGTCTTAAATCTATGTTGTGCTCTATACTTATGATCACCTGGCCATATATCAGTCATTCTCTCAGCCTTTCCTTAGAATTGATTGATTTTTTTCTAGAGCAGTTCATAGAACGAGAGAAACATTTACTTATTTGATCACTGGTTTATTATAATAGCTTATTATAAAAAAGGCTATGACTCAGGAACAGCCAGATGGAAGAAATGATAAGGAGATAATAGTCACTCTCAAAGTGCCACTTTTCCCAAATCCTCATGTGTTTACTAACCCAGAAGTTTTCTGAACGCTCATTAATGTTTCAGTGGAGTCTTCACTACATAGACATGATTGAATCAACTTCTGGGTCCTCTCTCCCCTTTCAATCTCTCAAATCACAGGGTATGGTCAGCTGGCTACCAGATCCCTACCCTAAGATGTTATCCAGAGGTCATCAATATAACAAAAACTCTTTTATCTTCATTCTGTATACTTGGGAAATTCTAAGAGTTTTGGGTACTGTAAGCCAGGAACCCAAAATGAAGACGTATATGTGTGTGTGTGTGTGTGTGTGTGGTTATAAAATACATGTTTATTTCTTACTATAAATACATTACAATATTACAGGAATATAGAGCTCACTTTGAGGTCTTGCATATATTTCTGGTACAAGTTTTTTGGTACCCTTGAATTTTATAAGGTCTTAAAAAGGCATTTGAATTAATTACTGCAAAGCATTCTGATTGAATATTTTAATAAAATTTAATATTTCTGAACTTTCTTCCACTCTTTATTCTTGTTAGTGATTCTGCCTTAAAATAATTTTTAAATTATTTAGCTATTCTGATTTTCTGTAGTACATCTCCATCATAAAGCAGTATACTAAAAAAATCATTATGCAGAAGTCATCTAACATGACTTCAGAATTTATATCTTTGATTGAAATCTGTTTCTGGATTACTAAAAGTTTTAAATTTTACTTTAATTTTTTATATCCTAGTAAGTTTATTTAGTAATCAGGAACTTTTTAAAGATTTAAAGATAGACTGGCTCTACTTTATATGGAAACAGAATGTACACAGCCTTTTTGGGAATGTATTGTAAATAAAAAAAAGATCTGTCATTTTAATGGAATTAAGATTGCTTTTAATAGAGTAAGTAAATGACGTACTTTTCCTATCATTGTCACTTTTTCTTTTATAGAGATGCTGTTCAGTTAAATGTGATTGCTACAAGACAGCTTATTCTTCTTGCACAACAAATGAAGAATCTGGAAGTATTCATGCATGTGTCAACAGCATATGCCTATTGTAATCGAAAGCATATTGATGAAATAGTCTATCCACCTCCTGTGGATCCCAAGAAACTGATCGATTCTTTAGAGTATGTTTGAAATTTATATAGATTGGTTTTGATCTGAAAACTTTGGATCCAGGTTTTATCTATTTATATGTATCTCTTGGTCTATTTCTGTATCTTGGCATATTTTACTTTCTCTCCACCTCTTTCCATTTTATGTATACTTTCCCCATTATATATACATTTATCTCTTTCTTAGGCAACAAATTGTTATGTATCTACGATCTTCTTCTGATTTTATAGATTAACATCTAAATGATAGTAAAAGCAGTGTGGACTTTCACTTTTTACTAGGTGTGATGACTTGAAGATGGCTTATGAACAACTCACAATATTAAAGCCCCTATTTTTCAGGGTGTCATTTTAGTGACTAAGAGTTACCTGATACTCATTGATACTAACGACTGCCTATTTGAGAGCAAGGTTTTCTAGTTTATTAAGTGATTATCCTTTTTATTTTTCCCAAATGAGAATATCTATAGCAGGGTCTTTTATTATTAGGAAATTAGAGGAGTCATGGTCCCTGTCCTTTCATTGATACACATTGTGTTAATGTTTTTAATTTTTCTAAGGACCAGGATTCTATGAGCAATTATTGCATGAAAAATAGCTGTTTTGATGGGTATGTAGTATGTGAAAAAGGTTTCTATCATGACAAATATTTCATTTGCCTCAGCCTATGCAAGTGAATCAAATAGGACCAGTACAAAAACCAAGTGTTCTTTTTTTAATACAAGCTACAATTATAAAAGCATTCCATATGCATATCTTCACATATTTGTTACTCCTCATGTAAGATTTGTGGACATTTCTGTCCTTTTCTTCTCTTTCCCTTTATATCTCCTTTCTTCCCAGAGATGCAGTCCACTTTCAGCTTCTTACTCACCATCCTCTGCTTCAAACAAATTCTTTTTTTCCTGAGGGTGCTACATTATGTACATAACTCTGTCCAAGATGTCTTTTAAAATAAGGACTTATGTCCTTTTCTTTAAGGCTTTCTTTAAGCAGATAGAGTTTTTAAATTAATAAATATGTGAGCTTACTGAGATATTCTTATGGTAATGCCGTGTTTTCTATTTCTGATCTCATTTCTTTGATAATCCCAGTTATTTACCTCATTTTCCTCACAGATCAGTAAGCAGAGGTGTTTACAAAGTTGAGTGTAGGGGCCTCCCAGGTGGTACAAGGGCTTAAGTCTCAGTGAGTCCACAGCCACTGCAGTACAGAGTTCAAGTTTGATCCCTAGCCAGAGAGCTAACCCGCATGGCATAGCAGAACTCTCCTGTCATACCCGCTTCTCCTCAGCAGTTATTGTAGACAGTCTGCCTCTTCTGCTCCCACTTTGTTTATGGTGAATCCTCTCAGCCCCCTTCACCTCTGGCCTACACCCCAGCTCTGGTATGCATAAATAAGTAAAATAAATCTTTTTTTTTTTAAAGTTGAACGTAGAAGTTAGTGAAGCTTTTTGCTTTTCCTTTTATTAGTAATTGGTATACCCAAACATCCAAGTAGCTGAGAAAGAACCTTTAACAAACTTCAAATTCTGTATCTCCTTCCTTTATTTACAAAAAAAAAAAATTAGCTAACATAATTTTAGATAAAGTCATAGTTACACTCTGTAAAGTCATACCAGTGATATTAGGCTTACTGGCTAATGTCTCCTCGGCTTAGCCAGTTTTTGTAGTAGCTATCACTTCCACTTTTTAAAAATTCATCTTCACTATGGAATTATTCTTAAACTGAGTAGTATCCTCTTCAATTTTTAATATTCTTTTTCATCTATATACAAAAAGTACTTCCATGTACAGAAGAAAATTTATCTTGATAGTTTTCTATTTATGCTTCTTCGTTCCTTATTAGAGTGTGGCAGCCTACTGGGGAAGGTTTGCATAGCATGGTAGACAGTAAGGAAAGAAGGAGAAGTGTTTGAAAATAACTATAACATACTAGGATAAGAAATTTAGATTGAGAAAGGCCATAGAAAGCACCTAGCATATGACCCTTCTTTCACACATTATCAGAGTACATCTTTGTCAGAGATACTGAGAGAGTTAGAGGAATTTTGTGAATTCATAGAAAGTTAGTAATTGTTACAATTATTATTGTTTACTGTAGTATTTGTTAGTCTCATTAGTGAGCATTTGATTTTTGTTTTGTCCCAACTTCTGTGCCCAGCCGCAAGGAAGGAAGGTGGGAGGCAGAAAGGCTGAGCAAGCAGAGTTTATTGCTCTCAGACAGCAGCTGAGAGGGAGCCCCAGCTACTGCCAACTCAATAAAGGGGAAAGGGTCTTTTATATAGATCTAAGTTCACATTCCAAAGGGTGACTCATCGCTGTGCCCCCTGGTGGTAGGCCCAGTTCCTCCCACCTGTATCTCCCGGATGCGAGGCCCAAGACTAGTCCTATATCAAGCTTGGATGCAAGGCTCAGTTCTTTCCTTGTCAGTAAATCTTTGGTTCCCAACATTTTTCACTGCTTCAGTATTCCTTTTACATTAATGTTCATTGCAGATATGTATAATTAACATGCTATATTGTTAGGTATATATAGAGATCTCTAATTCCTAATCTGAAACCCAGGGGGCCTGCTGTATTTTGAAATTTGTTTGGTTATGAAATAACTTAGCTAGATCTGGGATAGCATCCTTTATCAGACCCAAGAAGTGTATGAATATGTATCCTCAGTGGTATTAAGATCATAAATGAGTTTAGATAAGCTTTTTTTTACTTACCATATGGTTTATGAAAGAACACTCAGTTTTCAGATCTTGTGGATATAGAAATTGAATGTAAGAGATATGAACTTGCAGTTGATGTTTAATAAAAGTAACTCCCTTTTTTTAAAGTTGTCATCATTTGAGTTAGTGATAGATATATTTGAATGTACACTGTTAGGTGGATTTCATTTTATAGTAAAATATCTGAAAATATCTTTGCATGCCATTTCTTTACCAGGTGGATGGATGATGGCCTAGTAAATGATATCACGCCAAAATTGATAGGAGACAGACCTAATACATACATATACACGAAAGCATTGGCAGAATATGTTGTACAACAAGAAGGAGCTAAGCTAAATGTAGCAATTGTAAGGCCATCTATTGTTGGTGCCAGTTGGAAAGAACCTTATCCAGTAAGTTTTGGGAACTCTTTTTAAATAGTTGGGATTAAGTTTTTTTTTTTTTTTTAGAACTTTACTTCAAAAGTGTATAAGAGCATGCATTATTTACTGAACATGATTTACCATGACAAAACTATTTCTATTTGTAGGTTTTTATTTATGTGTAACGTTTGTGTATAGAAATTTAGACCAACATTTTAAATCTTATTTGAAAATTAAATCAAAGGCTATGGTGTTGTCTTGGCTGAGTTTTGTCTGTCATCAACAAGATGATTGGACTCTGGACATGTCAGCATTAGTTGGCTTTTAAAATTATTTGTTGACTAGTTCCCCTTGTAGAGGTGATTGGAATATAGATGGGAATATTCAAGATTTTATTTTATTTCATTTGCTTTTAATTACCAAGAAGAGGCAGGCCTTCCAAGAGATAGGGTCCTTCCTGTATTGATCACAAACTAAGAGACATAAAACATTTCTGTGACTTACTGTACAAAAACTGGGCACTATGGTATTTATGAATTCCTGGAATAAGAGAAAACATAACTTAGATAAATTTAGGAAAAATCTAGGTCTCTATGATGGTAGTGATAGCATCTATTTTTTTGCTTTATAATTTTGCTTTCCTTTGAAATTTTGAAGAGAAATTTTTATTTCCCCCTAATCTCAGGAAATCAGCAAAGCAGTAAATAACACAAATCAAACTTGAATGCATTTAATGAAGTAAAAATACTTGACAGGATTGAGATGGGGAGAACATGCTCTATTTTATAGTTTTTAGAAGAAAATTCCCATAAATATATATGTGGTGTAATGCATTGCAAGCAATCAATTTCTAGTTTTGTAATATTTCTAAGCAGCCTCCCTTTTTAATTTTTGATATTAGGGATGGATTGATAACTTTAATGGACCAAGTGGTCTCTTTATTGCGGTAAGTAAACCTTTTGATATATTTAATATTCTGTGTATTTTTCTGTTTTCTATACATCTTTATATGTTTATGTGTACTGTTTTATATATCTTAAGGTGTTGTTTTTAATTTCAACAAAGGCAGGGAAAGGAATTCTTCGAACAATGCGTGCCTCCAACAGTGCCCTTGCAGATCTTGTTCCTGTAGATGTAGTTATCAACACGAGTCTTGCAGCAGCCTGGTATTCCGGAGTTAATAGGTATATGAGGTGACAACATCACTTGTTAAATCTATAGTAACTGAGAAGGGAAAACAACTATAGACTGATGTTAATTAACCCCTGAAGCCTGATAGTTCCATGCCAGTATATATAGGCATTATCACTTCCAGCTGTAAGAGTTGGTTTATCACAGGCAGTAAAGTGGTTCCATCAGCAATAATTAAGAATTGTCAATAATTTTCATGTATTTCCTATAGGATGGACAAGTTCATTAGAAATTAAAATGGAAATATAAGGACTGTCTCCCACCCTTGTGATTTTTTTTTATTCCCCTAAATCTAAAATTGGGTATAAACTAGCATATATAAAGAGCTGAAATACACAAAGAATGGCTTACATATACAGATATTGCATAAGAGAGCAACTTTAGGTCTTCAGTGTAATGCTTTTCCAACTGAGCATTTGAATTAAAGGGAATAATAGCCTATACAGGTAAACTTTAAGCTTCTCAATAACATTTTCTCTCTTAATAATAAACTGCCCTATTTTTGAAGTGACTATTTTATGTCTTAGAAAAGGGTATGATGATATAAGTTTATTGTTTGTAGTGAAAGGGAAATAAGCCCAAAATCTCTTTTAGTTAAAACCACTGAAAATGGGAAGATGATAGGAAGAGCTGAGATTGATTGTTGCTGTTTTCTTTAAATTAAAAAAGATACTACTGTTATGCAAGGAAGAAAAATATGAAAAGAAAGAACTATATATGTCTTTGGAAGTAATTATTTGGTAGGGTAGGGGAAAATGGTAATTATAGTTATTCAGATATGAAAAATAATCCTTTTAGGAAAATTGTAGAACAGGTACCAATCATCCTCATTTCTTCCTACTTGAATAGCATGTAAGATTTAGTTTGGATAAATTTGGTCTCCTTTTGTGTTTCAATGTTTTGATCTTTGTCTTTGCAGACCAAGAAACATCATGGTGTATAACTGTACCACAGGCAGCACTAATCCTTTCCACTGGGGTGAAGTTGGTATGATTTTACCTGTGTTTTTGAATGTTAGAATAAATCTTAAAGAATTTAAAATGTTCCCTGAATTTTATGTTAGAATAAACTCCCTCCCAAGATAGTAAGGCCACCAAGTTGCCAGTTAGCTACAAACAATCTTACTATCCACACCCTGCCCCATTTTTGTCTGACCCATACAATTTTTTTTGCTGTCATCTGCAGTAACTTTCATATCTACATGTTGTGTGGAAATAGTTTTTTTTTCCTCCCTCATAGACATTCTTTATCCTGATGTTGCTTACCCATAGATAATGTAGTTCTAGCTATACAAGTTGGCATATATGAGGAGATAGCTAGTGATCCCAAGAATAATAACTAAAGGAATTAGCAAATAAGATATATATATTTTGCCAGAATATTTTCTATTACATATAGTAATTTATTTAAATTAAAAAATTCATAGCTGTTATGTGTGCAATGTTGTTTAAAATAAAAAGAGTACAACTTAAAGCCTACTGAAATTGAATCATTTTAAGTTGTTGGTTTATGTTTTCACATTTAAAGTCTCTGTAGTAGTTAGCAAGAGGTTTTATTTTACCTCTAAATTTTTGTTACTCTTGCAGAGCAATTTTGATTTTAAAGTAAGTCTTTTATGCCATTTGTTGTAGGGCCTTTCTGTGGCTTTTTTACTTCAATTTAAAGATTGACAGCATATAAGGAAAATCTAGGATAACATGAATTTATGATAATTATTTAATATTCTTTTAAGGATTTTAAAACACTGAATAACTTAGGATATTTGTAATATTTTATCATTTGAAAAATTTAGTAAAAATCAAATTGATTTTTATTTTGTAGTCTCAATATATATTTCCATAAAAATATTAACATAGAGGATAATAGATTTAATTGTGTTGACTTTGCATAATCTAAATAAATTGCAACAGAAGTTAATTTTGGGTTGTTTTAAGCTTGTTGATAATATGTTTATTTGAACAACTTATTCATAAGCAAAGGGTGATGATTTTCCTTTTCTTTTTTAAGTAAGTACAGTAATAAGAATCTGGAAAGAGGAACAGAAAGAAAGAAGCTATCGTGAGAGGTGAAATATAGAAAGTAACATTGTAAAATGAAATAGGTAAAACATAAAAGGATAAAATTTTTAAGAGTGAATTTTAGCAAAAATTCATTCATCTAATTAAAATTCACAAATAGTGGCAGTTTTAAAACCACTTGAGTTCAGAAGGTTAATACCCATATTCTCTTAGCTACCATAGTTGAATAGAAAAGTTTGTTTTTCAAATGAGCAAACTCTTGACATCTTTGGTAAAATATTTTGCTTTGTAAAAACATGATTTTTTTCAAAACTTCATTACATGGTTGTTATCAAAGCTGTTACACAACTTTTCTTCCTCAGAATACCATGTAATTTCCACTTTCAAGAGGAATCCTCTCGAACAGGCCTTCAGACGGCCCAATGTAAATCTAACCTCCAATCACCTTTTATATCATTACTGGATTGCTGTAAGCCATAAGGCCCCAGCATTCCTGTATGATATCTACCTCAGGATGACTGGAAGAAGCCCAAGGTAATGGTGACTAGCTCTGTCTTATCTGTTCCTCTGACTGTTAAACAACCCATGCTTACACTAAAATGCATATTAACTCTGTATTTGTTTATGCTTATGATAAGGCTTAGTGGCCTTTTGTGAATGAGAAGACTCTTGAATTTAAGACTTTGTCAGAACAGCAAGGTAGTGTTATAATTTACTCTGTTCTAAAGTTTGGATGATTAATTATTGTTATGTACTGAATTCTAGGTCTAATTTTAGGCTTTTTTCTGAATAACAAATAACACTCAAAATGCTTTGATGCTTATTTTTCCTACAGGATATTATCTAAATCATTCCTTCAAGACGAATCCTTTAAACCAAGTATTAAGGCACCCCGATATTAAGTTGTATTCCAACAGCTTATTGTTTCATTATTGGAGGGGTGTCAGAGATACAGTACCTGCATTATTGCTCGATCTTGCACTCAGGTTGACAGGTCAGAAACCGTGGTAAGAAGAATAGCAGTAAATACACTATGTATTGGTAAGGTGGTGGAAGCTTGCTGGAGAGACAAAAAGTCGCTAGCATGAGCTTTACCTTTAGAATTACTAACCTGATTGATTACAATCACAATCAGGGTGCTGGGACATTTCTTAGAAATTGAGGATACTTGGGGAGACTGAATCTCATCTTATTGGAATATTGATCCTCCAATACCCATAATAGAGGAAATGTCCAACACCAAGGTTGTCATTGTTATTATAAGCTGAAATAGAGCCCTTCTCTCCCCCTTCAAAACTTAGGGGTGAGTTTTATAGGGGATTATGGGTACAGTGTTTTGCTTCAAGTGCATTGTATAGTTTTAAATGAAAAACATAGGCTGCTCCTAGAAAATTAATTGATCTCAATTGCCCATTCAGCTTATAATATGATAATTAAAGTTTTTGACTAATTTTCCAGGTTGAGAATGTCATACTTTAAAAGGTTAATAACAAATGGAAAAGTTCTATTTTTATTATAGTTGTTACAGCCTTTCTTTCTCCTTTCTTCTCTTTCTATTGAATCTCCACAAACCTAGTTTTCCTACTGTTTTTACCACAACTACAGTAAAATGTTCTATAAAAATATTTATTTTTTTTAACTACATTGGCCTTACAGTGAAGCCTTTGATTGGAGTGTTCAGGATTTGAGTATTTATATGTAAAGAAGATGCTGATTTCAGGACTTCCATCAACTGCTCAAAAATAAAAGTGAGGTATCTGCCAGTTACAGTGTATCAGGATCTGAATTACTTGTAGGGATTTTCTATGGATTCATGTGTCCATTATGTTCCTAACCATCTATGTTACACATTGGAATATGTGAGAGGTGTGGAATTAAACAACTTTTAGAATAGGTAAAACAAAAATACTTATGGGGAGAAGCTCCAAAATATATCAGAATTTTCAGGTTTTTCTAGAGTTATCTGTAAAGTACATTATTTATGGGAAAAAAAACAGGTAGAAATTTATGAGTGTTGGCAGTGCATGTTGCTTTCTTGATAATAATAAATTTGCTTAACATTAAGAGCAGAAAAGTCAAAACTGAGTCAGAAATTTAATGGGTCTCACTGCCTTACTCAGAAAATGGAATTTAGTAAAAGTTTACAAATGAGTAAACAGCAAAGTTTATTTAATAATTTATAGCAGATAGTGCTGCACAACAAATCATCTCAAACTTAGTGGCTTAAAATGACAGCAGTGATTTATTATCATTTTCAAATTATTATTTTTCTCAGGATTTAGAAATTCTAGAAGGAATCAGTTGGGCAGTTTTAGCTGGAGGGGGTGGTGTTGGTGGTTTCATATGTGTATGATCAGATGGATCAGAGAGGGGGTTCCTGCAGTGGAATAGCTAGTATCATCTCACCTTCATAGAGTTTCTACAAGGACTAGTGGTTGTCTTAACGGAGTTTTACTGCTTGCATGGCTACTGACCTACCTTACTTTGTACTGCCTTGCATGGCACTGCTTCCACCTTACTCTTTTAGTCGCAAGTGAGTCATGAGTCCTCCAAGATTTTAAGAAAAGGAATGTAGAAAATGGCCAAGAACATGTTCTAAATAAGCAAGTAAGATAAAAGGTTGTAGCCATTTTTGGAAAATGCAGATCTGCTATAGTCAGCCTTCAGGCCACAACAGTTCATATTCCTTCCACATGGAAAGTATGCATGCTTCTTCCCCTCCAAGATGTCTCCCCTGACATCAGTTTAAAGGTATGATTCCTCAAGTATTATACTGACAACATATGAACTATAGTAACAAGTTACTTGCTGTCCATATGTCCAACATATAATGATTAACAAGCATAGCAGAATAATTTTAGACATTTTCAAAGAAGGAAAGAGGAAATATGCTGCCATCTCTGGTCCGTAACAGTTCTGAATTCCAATTGGTTATGTGTTGATGGTTTTTTAGGGCTCATTCCTGCTCTTTAAGAGTTTTCTGAGGCTCTTAGCATTACTTTGAGTCATCCTTTTTCTATTAAAAAAATCCCTCTTTTATGGATGAGCCAGAAGGGATCATATGCAGCGAAATAAGCCAGAAGGAAAAAGAAAAATATCTAATGGCTTCACTTAGAGGAGGGATATAAGGGAACCAAATAAGGGTTCAGGAAAAAAAAATAATAACAAAACAAAAATTATTGGGCAATCATCAATCAGAAACATTCTTTGGCGGCGGGGAGGAAGGAAAAGAGATCAAAACAGGAGAGAAGAGCACAAGGGACTATGGTGATGGATCATGGGTGAATTGATGGTGGGAATTTTACAGGTACTACACAGTGATATAAGAGATATAAATTTAAAAATAATTTTAAATGGCCTCTGTTTTCAAGTTTAAGTCTATTTACTCTACTTCCTGCTGTGAAAGGTTAGGAACCCTCAAGGGCAGATGTTGGCAAGCTTTCTATAAAGACCTATGTAGTATATATGGTAAGTTTTGGAGACCCTATGGTTCCTATTGCAATACTCTTACTTTTTTTTTTAATCATATAATTTATTTTTGCATCATTTTGTGCATTTTTTCATCTCAGTTGTAATCCCCATGGGCTTCCCATCTCCATATCACCCATGTGCCATCACCATTCTTACTTTTTTTTTTTTTTTAAAAGAGTTACTTATGTGTTCAAGAACTGGGAGGTAGACCAAAGGTGCAGGGGGCAGAACAGGCAGATTAACTGAAATAAACTGCTGAGGGGAACAGCGGGCAAGATAGGAGAGGTTTGCTGCACCATGTGGGTCACCTCCCTGACTGGGGGTCAAACTGATGCTGCAGTGGTTGCTGATAGCTTCATATTAATGAGACTTTAATCCCTTGTGCCACCAGGTAGGCCCCTGCAATACCCAGCTTTACTGTTACATGTAGCTTCCACCTTTCAACCACTCAGTTCTGCAACCATAGACATTATGTAAATGATTATTTACTTTATTTACCAAAATGGATGGATTTGTCATGTGTCTCTGGCTTGCTAACCCTTTATCCAGAGGCCTCTCATCCTTTTGTACTTTCTTTCCCTTTAAGTGTAAAGTGACAATTTCTTTTAAATGTGTAGGTCTCCTATGAATTTATTTTGAGACAATTAATTATAGATTAAAACTGTACCCATAGATCTTCTTCAGATATGCCTTTCTCTCTCCTGGGTTCCTTATGAAGTTGCTGTAGAACACCTTAAATCTTAGATTTTGACTCTTAAATTCTACCTCTTAATTAGTAGGCTAGTTGGGTTAACCAGGCATCTTTTTCTCTTAACGTAACCTCAGAACCTCTCTCCATGTGGTTTCTCCACATGGACTACTTTGGGCTTCCTCACAGGATGGCAGTCTCTGGGAATTGGACAAAATACATGGTGACTAAAGGCCTCAAGGTTGTGAGTATTCTAGTGAGTAAGGCAGAAAGATCTATAACCTTTCCTTATCTGCCCTTGGATACTACCCAGTATCATCTCTTCCTCATTCTGTTGTTCAAAAGTTATCTTCACCTCTTGATGAGAAGATAGTCAAAGTGACTTAGGTGAACATCGAGGATGGGAGATAGTATTACAGCTATCTTTGGAAATTAAAATCTATACTAACTAGGAGATACCAAATAAGGAATCTTCTGACCTAAGATTTTTGTCTTGTATAAGACTTTATGGGTTTCAAACAGGAATGATATTTGACTGCTGAAAGCTTCACGTCAAAAAAATGTAGTTTTTTTATTTAGGTAATGTTAAGTACAAAGGCTTACAGTTTATATTTTAATTTCTCCAGATATTTATTGAGCAAGTTGCTAGGCTTTATACCTTATATTGGGACTGTAATATAATATCTAGTTCTATATATTTAACTGATGTTAGTTGTGTCATTCATGGTTTCCATTTTACTCAATTACATTATTCTGAGTGTCAGCTAGATAAAAAAAATCTATTAACATATTGTGACATATTAAAAGCTGCAGCTCAGATATTCATTATGCCAGTTCCTGATCAATAATCATGAGGACTAAACTACATGATTTTATCAATTGTGGAAGCAGTCAAAACATTTAAAAATTGTTTCCAGTGGTCTTGTTTTTTGGTTATTTACCCTAACTTCTCTGAACCTGATCTTTTTTATCTATTATTCTGATTGGAGATTATTTTGCCGTAGTTGGGACTTTTGACAATATTTGAACATGGTTTTTCGCTATCACAACTGGGGAAGGGTTCATCTGGCATCTAGTGGTTAAGTATCCAAGGGATACTTCACCCATACGCACACAACCAAGATTTATCTGACTCAAAAAGACGCTGAGGTTGAGAAATGCTGCACTAGATTGAATCTTGCCCTACTCTACAGGATTGGGATTCTTTTTGCAGGTTGCCATAATACAGAATAAATAAATATGCAGAATATTCCTGGCAGTATTAGTCCCTGGCATCTGTTCTTATAGCATGCTTAACCAAAGAGTGGCAATGCAATATTTTAAGTTTCTTTTTATTCCTGGTAGTATTTAATCCAGTAGCTTTTATTTCTTTGTAAATAAATGCTCTATGAACGTCATATATAGATGGTCTTCCAGATTTTCTTTCACCCTCTAGTTTTTCTACTGTAATTATTATTTTTTTTTAATTTTTTTTTTATTTTTTTTAAAGATTTATTTATTTATTCATACAGAACTGGGGTACAGGCCAGAGGCTCAGGGGCGGTGAGAGGCTTCACCAGAGACAGAGTGGGGAGCAGAACAGGCAGATCGACGAAGTACACTGCTGAGGGGAGCAGCGGGCGGGTCAGGAGAGGTCTGGCTCGCCATGTGGTCTCCTCCGGGGCAGGCGGGAATCGAACTCATATGGAAGTGGCTTCAGATTCTCAGTGCTGTGCTTTAACCCGCTGCGCACCAGGGAGGGCCTCTACTGTAATTATTTTTGATTGGCTGAATCAGTGATTGGTTTTAGGGTAATTATGTTACTTGACCAAATCTGAAGCCTAGGTGAGAATGTCAGTGATAAAGAATTAGGAAGAAAATCTTAAAATAAGATTTCTGTTGGAAAACCATGTTGACCAAGTATGTGGTTTCAATCAACTATACTATACTGGCTCTGATAGTGACTGTTGATTTGTTTGCAAATCTATTATGTCTTTTTGTTGTTTTGTAGAAAATTAATTATCAAATCTCTTTTAAAAGCAGCCTCTCTTGTTTTTCCCCCCAAGTGCTTTCTATTTATTTGAACCTTTCCTGTCCATATATAGCCTTTGTTTGCGCAATAATTATTTTTGTGTTCACTGGAAGTTTTTTTTAAAAATACTCTTGCTTCAACTGCTAGTTCATGTTGCCCCATTTAGTCCCAATATTCTGAATTCAGGGTTTCTTTGTAAATATAGTGAATGTGTTATCAGAATTAAGTAGCTAATATTACTGTTTTGATTTTTCCCCCCTCCCATTTCTGATGCTCTAATTTTCTCTTATTTCCCCCATTTCTAAAACTCCTCATTGTGGGACTTTCTAAAATGCCTATAATTCTAATCCTTATTGTGGGACTATAAATAAAATCTTTATAAGTTATTTTTCTGTTTATTAGAGGTTGAGAAGTTTTGGTGTGTTATGTTTCAAAAGATTCTTTCCTTTCTCTGCTTATCATAGGTAATTATTACTGTATAACTTATTGCTCTGAGTAGTGTTATGAGATCAATGACTTACAATGACTTGCAATTTATAAAAAGACAGATTTAAAGATTAAGACTCCTCACAATTTAAAAAGAAAAAAGAATGTATTGATCGACCTTATTTCTCTAAGGGGTTTGGGGAGATGAGATTTGAATTTCTGTTTCAGAAAGTTTTTATCATTAGTTATTGATTTCATGGCACATTCAGATAACCAAGAGTGATCTTGCATTGTTAAGGAGAAAAATTATTTTAAAAGAATATATAGATTTGGAAAGAGTTAATGAAAAGCCAAATGAATATTTCTGTATACTTTGTTTCCATGATTCTGAAAAATTGAGATTATAATGTACACAGTATGGGCTCACAGGAAATCTTAAGTGAATGTAACTGAACTAAAATGTGGCTTAAGGAACAAAGCATCAGAGAATACTAATTGAATCCATTTGTTTGCTTAATATGATATATAGGAAATTTGACCTTAAAAATAATTTTCATTTTGGATTTATAAACTTTTTCAAAGTTGCAGAAATATTCTTATCTCCTGCTGATTTTGGGTAGTCATTAAATTGTGTAATAAAATTTTACTGTTAACATCAATATAGAAACTGGTATCCTGGGTGGTGGTATTTTTCCTAATCTACGCAAAATGTGAATCTCTCAATTTTTCTTACAATACAGGATGATGAAAGCAATAACTCGTCTTCACAGAGCTATGGTGTTTCTTGAGTATTTCACAAGTAATTCTTGGGTTTGGAATACTGACAATGTCACTATGTTAATGAATCAGCTGAACCCTGAAGATAAAAAGGCAAGCATTTTCTGTTTTATATTAAAAAGTAAATAGCATACTGATTAGAGAATCATTTGCAGCTTTGAGGAATAATTAGATATTTTTTACAACCATTGTGCTATAGAAAGCTCATGAAAGCTTCAGTCATAATTGGTGGTAGTGAGATAAAGTTGTTTTATTTATAAGTAATTGAGAGTGATAAAAATATTTTCAAAATGTGTAGTTTTAAAGAGAACTTTGACTTCTTCGCCGCCAACATTTAAAAAAAAAATTACCTTCTTTTGTTTGGGCTTCCTAGATCTGAAGATTTTTTTTTTTTTGGTTTTTTTTTTTAGCAACTCAGGAAAATACTTAGCTAATGTTTCTTCAAGTATTATCTCTTCATTCTTTTCTTGTGAATTGTTAATATATCATTCTTACCTCCAGCTCTTTTAACATTAATGTTTTTATATCTTTTTGTTTCTGCCTGAAGCTAGATTGATTTAAGTTATGTGGCAATCTATCAGCTGTGTCTAAGCTACCCAGTTGAATTTTGGGTTTTACTATATTTTCAATTTTAGAAATTTAACAGTTTTTCAAATTTCATAGACATTTCTTACATTATCTTCAAAATTTCCTTCTTGAAATATTAAACAGTTGTTTTTAGTTGTTTCTGATAATTCAAACTTGTAAAGATTAGACAACATCTGATCAGCTTTCCATAGTTTAAACTAGGACTATTGGCAGCTTGTTTCTTTGTCCTTTGACTATAAATTCATATCCTTGAGAATTTCTAAGGGTAGTTTTTCAAGCCTAGCTTGAAGTTACAGTTTGCTACTAGTTAAGTATTTGCTTTCGCTTCTGCCAGTAGTCGAGTGAGGCTGTATCATTAGTAAGGTGGCATTAGCAAGCCAGGACCACTTTAAAATATTTGAAAAGGTTTTTAGCATGACTTGATGAATTCAGGCCTTAAGTTGGCTTGCAGAGCTGGTTCTTGATTACAGTTTCTCAAAGGAGATTTTTCTTTAATATTCGTAGTACCAGTTTGCTTTGTCTTCTCAGTTTATTTGAAAATTGTGTAGCTGAAGTTATATCAAATAGTTTGAAGCTTTAAATTATTTAAAAATAAAAAAATTTATTTAAAGGATACTTTACTTTCTATTTTCCATACTGAGCCTGCAAAATCCATTACACATTTTTATAATCTAGCCTCTCAGTTCAGACTAGCACATTTCAAAAGCCTAATAGATACATGTGGCTTCATGGTTACCATATTAGAAAGATTTAATATTTTCCTAGTGGGTCTCCATGGCAAGTCTTCAAAAGTCCTAATGTATGCTGTTTCTCTGCACACTTGTATGTGTAGTGGGTTTACTTCTTCACCTTTGCTGTGAGACTATAGCTCAATGAATTCTTAATATTTCTTCAGGAGTGTTCTATAACAAGATTTAATTTATGTGGCCATAGGCTTTTTGCCTGCAACCCCCAAAGTGGGTTTAAGTTACCAGAATCCTGCTGGTAATTTCAGGTTGAAAGACTTATGACTTCTGTTGATTTTTGCTTACTCCCTTCCCCCCACTCTGTACAACACATATTGCTCAGTGGTTTATTAGAAAGTGAGTATCCAGGTGAAGAAAAGAACATTGCACTTGTGCCTCCTCCTAGTCACTGCCTCTTCTCTCCTCTAAAATGAAATGTTTTTCTTAACCCATTTTTAACTTTATATAAATAGTTTGGTACCTTTTTTTTTATTCTTTTGTTGATAAGTATTTGGAATTAACTTTTAGAAAAGGTATGAATTTTGACTGGTTGTCGGTAAAAAGAAAGTATTCAAGAAAGTAACCAATATCATCTTTGTTTCCTGTAGACCTTTAATATTGATGTACGGCAATTACATTGGGCAGAATATATAGAGAACTACTGCATGGGAACTAAGAAGTATGTATTGAATGAAGAAATGTCTGGTCTCCCTGCAGCTAGAAAACATCTGAACAAGTAAGTCTTACATGGGTTTGACTTCCTTTTGTCTTCCTTACAAAGTATTACACTTCTTTTGTTGTTGTTTAACTGGCAGAATGAAAGGCATTTCCAATAATCTAGAGAAAATGCTTACCTTTGGAATGAAGCCAGAGTATTATTGATTTAGCCTAAGATCGTTGAAATGTATTTATCAATTTATATTGTACAGGTACTATGTACAGGTACAGTTTAGTTTTAAAATCTCTATATTATCTACTGCAAAGTAAAGAGATAAAAAGTATTTTTTTAAAAGGGTCACTTTTTAACCTTACGCAAGCACACCTTCAGAAGAAGAAAAGATACAGTAATACATCATTCAGCATAGAACTTTTTCTTTATAAAGTAATTACAAATATTCCATTAGTCTCTATATAAAAATAATATGTAATAGTTTTTTTAAAAGATCCTCAGAAAATAAAAGAGAAAAAAATCCCTGTTAATTCATTATGCAGACACACAGTTAATTTTAAATAAGCTCTTCTATTTGTAGTGTTTTTAAATAGAATTTTTTTTTAATTCCACATCCTAAGACTTCTCATTATTTTTCTCATGCCTCCAATTTTAAGAGGCTTAACTTTAAGCAGCTTCACAAGATATCTAGTTGTATAGATTGAAAACTGAAGCTTAGCGAGGTTGTATTTGTTTAGGTCATAAAGTGTACAAGCAGACTGATCTTTTGACTCCTAAATCCAAGTTCTTTGATCTATACCATTTCTTTGAATACTGGAGCCCTATCTTGTACTCCCTGTTGAAAGTTAAGGGATTTATGAAACATTTTATGTGTAAAGATTTATAATCCTATTTCTAAAATCACTGAAAAACATCAAAACTGTTTTGAAACCTGAGCAAGAATAGCTTGTTACTCTAAGAATGGAAAGGTTCTCCTGTATAGTGCTAGTTCCATGTTTCTTTCTTGAATGTCTTTTCCAGTTGTCCTTAGATCATGTGACTGTCACCTGTAACCGTATTAATTTGCATCCCAGCTATGCTGTTATTAAAAAAAATTGTTCATGGTTAATGAAGATGATATGCATTATTTGATGCATTGCCTTCCAGAGTCTGCATTAGGTTTGCTTTACTTTCACTTTTACTTAAGGTTTTCTAATTTTTAAATAAGCTTCAAATTAATATGAGTTTTAGATTTGATTAGATTAAAGATTAAGTGTTATCTTCTCTCCAACAATATTTTGTCTGGAAAATACTGTCTAATATGTATCTTGACTTGCTTTCTAGGTTGAGAAACATACGTTACGGTTTTAATACAATCCTTGTGATCCTGATCTGGCGCATTTTTATTGCAAGATCACAAATGGCAAGAAACATCTGGTACTTTGTGGTTAGTCTATGTTACAAGTTTCTGTCATACTTCAGAGCGTCCAGCACTATGAGATACTGAAGTCAAGAATATAGCATTAGAACATCTATGCATTTGGTGGTCTAAATGCACAAAATGTAAAATGTATTAAGTCATCTCACTTTTGTCAAGACATTAAACCATCTTAGATCGGAGTGTGAAGTAAATTATGGTACATCGTATGTAACATTTTAATGTTTATGCTCAAAAAACCTAGTTAACACACTGTGGTATACCAGTTCAAATCTACAACAGCCACCAAAACCATGGCTTAACATTTTGAAACCTGAATAAAAGGAATGGGGATGAGAGAAGGAGCGGGGAAATAGGAACACTGACCAGTTTAACTGTGCAATTCTGGAACATTAATGAAAATATGCCTTAACATGTAGTAAATTTCTAATTCTAATATTTACTGGAAAGGAAAGAATTTATTTGGACAGAAATAATAGCTAAGTTGATAGATATTTAATTCTTTAGTGTTTGATTTTTTTCCCATCAGTTGAAGTGGGTTTTAGTTTTGTTAAAATTATAGCCACACTATTTTCACATCATCCTATAAGTTATTGAGTGTTTCAGACATGAAAGATATGTGCTCATTTTTCTTTCTGTTTAGAATCTGATGCATATAATTTTTCTATAAATAAGTTGTTTTCATAATCAAAAGTCTACATATTATTTTGAAGACTATGGGATCTTAACTGGGTTTGAGAATCCTTATCAACCTATGCTATGTTTTTTGAAGGAAAATGAAAGTGAATTCAGTAAGACTAGAATCAAAAAAGAATGGAAATACGTTTTTCTTGTCCACATTTTGACCAAATAAAAATCCTGTGAGATTTTGTTCATGTTTTTGAAGCTGGAGAATTTATGATTTGCCAGGGGAGGGGGTTAGGGATTCACCATACTTGTTCTCTCCTCCTTTTATATAATCTTATTACTAGGAATTAGAAAGACTTATACTGTCTTTCCAGTAAAATCTGAAAGTGCATTATTACAGAAGAATGTATTTGTAGGTAGCCATAGCATTAAGGAAATGTTCTCATGTGTAAACACATAACTAATTTTTGACTTTGAGAGCTGAAAATTCCTTCAAGAAAAATAAAATAATACATGTGTATAAAATTAGACTTTATTTACATGCCACAAACATGCCACAAAGTAGCAAATGGTTGAATGAGTTTAAGGACCATTTTTTCTCAGCATGTAGTTTTAGACTTAGAGAAAAATACATTATAGAAACAATACCCAGAAATTAATGTATAGTTTAAAAACACATTATAATTCCCTTTAATCCTTAATAGTTAACTCTCTATACTGTTTCAGTATACAGTTGGTTTAATAAATTAATCAATATAACATGTTTTAATTTAGCTCATCAAATGTACTATATTTAAATCAACAATGTTATCTTGAATATATTTAATGAGGTCAGTTCACAATACAACAAGTTACATCTCAGTTTTCTTTGTCAAGTTAAATGCAATGTATTGAAGTTTATTTTGTTATTATTAAAAAACTAAAAGAGGAAATCACCTTCTTTTGTGTAGGTGGGAAATCTTGGTAAGGAAAAATGCTTCCATTGTTGAAGCCAGATTTTCTGTAGTAAAACTTTTAAACATTATTTTAAAAGAAATATGTATATAAACACACACACACACACACACACACACACACACATATATATATTTTTCCCCCTTTGGGACGATTCTAACATGTCTGGTCTAGGACCATACCTTGTATAAAGTATGAGAGACCATGGCAAGTGTCAAAAAATGGAATGAGTGATGCCTTTCCTTTAAAGTGGCCCATGTAATTAATTACTAATGCTCTCTACATTGAATATTCTTTCTCTTCCAACACATTTTCAAATGTGTTGAAAGCATGCTCTGATTTTTATACATCTGCCAGGTATAATTAGAATCAGATGAGTTGCCTTTGTGTCTTGTGAAAGAATCAGGTATTGCGGCAGACACATGAAGTAGATTGGAAGTATAATGTCTTCTGAATTGTGTCTTTGTCCTTGTAACTTAACTTAGAGAAATGCTAACTGGGAAGGCACTGAGGTTACAGCATTGTGTGTGTGTGTGTGTGTGTGTGTGTGTGTGTGTGTTTAGAATTCTGTTGAAAAGAAAGCTAATAATGAATAACTTAATATATCATTCTGGAACTTCAAGTTCCAAAATTAGTATAAAAGGTATAAGATTGTTAATCCCCATGAACTCGACTTTAAGCTTGACTCAAATTTAAAGATTTTGGAATTTATTTCTGTTTGTGTCATTACTAAATCTGAATTTAGCTCTGTTTGATTATATTTTCTACACAAACAGCATAGATTACTAAATATTTCTTTTAACTCATTTGATAGTTACATTGTATAACACATTTGTTTTTTTCCCCCTTTTCACTCTTGATTCTTATGCCTCTACCGATCATGACATCATTGTGAGCATATTTAAATTTGACTTGACAAGATTAAGATGTTCTGAAGCTCAACACAGAGGCATGGCAGTGTGTTTTTTGACTAAAGGATGGTTAGAAATAAACATTCTTTGAATTTGTGTAATAAGATTTGGAAGCAGAGAGAAAAAATTCTTATTTTTAGTGTGTATGTTTGTCAGAACTGGTTCAGGGTTTTTTGCTTTTTGTTTTAAATGTAAATTGATAATCTTTTATAAGAAGTAAATAGAAGCATTATTGGGTGCCTTTTGTTTGTAAACCAAAAAGTAATAAATGAATCCCTATACTTACACTATAGTATTTATTGTATTTTTACAGTAATTACCCTGTAAAAAAAAAAAAAACATTACACTGAGAATGACTCATGAGATAATGTGGTTAGAATTACAGGAAAGAGCCTGTCACTTCTTACCAAATTGTCCAGTTTACTTATTACTTCTCAGCTCTTTTTTCAATTTTTAATTTTTTTATACAGCATTTTAGGGCAAGTATAAAGGCAGGATGAATACTTTTTGTTAAGGTATTATGTTTATGTTTTAACTGGAATGAAGTATATCATAGACTGTAGCTAATGTGGAGAAGCCCACATTAATGATTATTATCCTATAGCTACATCTTCAGCAATTTATTAAGTATAAGGGATCATTCATTAATAATAGAGGTTAACTGTAAAAAAGGAGAGGATATCAGGCTGGGCTAGAGTGTGACTTCCCAAGCATGCTCTGCTGAGCTGACTCCAAGTCTCACTTGAAACTTCATTAACATTGACTTGCTCTATTTTGAGAAAAACTCTCTAACCTTTTGCATGAGAAACTAGAGAGGAATTTTTGCTGCAAAACTTGATACAGAAATAACAATAGTGATAAAAGAAATAGGAAATATTTTCTCATTGAATTCATGTTTTTGTCTTGAGGCATTTTCTAGTGATAGAATTAATTCTGTCCTTTTTTATGGTGGTACTATCCTCTTAAGTATAATCTTTGCTACCCTTAAGATTCCTAAATAAATTGTCTTTGTCAATTGAGCATAGTTGTGCAAAATTGTTAAATAATTTCTTTTATTTTTCTTTATTAAAGAAAAATTTGAGTAAAGCTAAGTTTGATGTGCTCCTTTACAAGTTGATGACTATAAAAGGTAGAGGCAGAATTCTTTTATTTTCTGCTGTTGTCTGGAAAATCTAATTCTCTCACATAAATTTGTCAAGTGTTTCCCTTCAGTTTTTGTAAGCAAGGAGTAGCTAGAGGATACTGAATTAGGGAACTTCATAAAAGCCTTAATATAGAATAGTCTTTGACTTACATAGATCATATGATTCAATGTAGTACTAGAGTTACTTTATTGGTGTTATTTTTTAACAAGCACACTGGAGCCTAAACAGGCAAATGAATGTAGTTTATATACAGTAGATATCCCAGAAGACTGCATACTTATTTCTTCAGTACTTGTTTGACTTAATTTTCTACATCTTTCATGGCTGACATAATTTTTCTCAGTTTTTTGTTAGTTTCTTGAAAATGAGCTTTGCATCTTTTATTATAGAAATAACGCTAGCAAAATTTGTTGAGCACCTACTATGTGCTGGACTCCACTTTAAGCCTTTTTTTTTTTTATTTAAAGAGTAAGTTTATTAGAAAGAGACAAGAGAAGAAAAGACACTTGCATAGGTGCAAGTGGGCAGAAAGAGCTGCCCTGAAAGGGACGGGTTTGCAGAGAGTGAGGCCTGCATGGTTGCAGGCAGGCGGTCTTAGGAGAGCGGCCTCCACCGAGGGAGGTCAGTGCAGAGAAGTCCCAGCATAGTACAGCTCAAGGGCAGGCAGGAGGCTGCTGCCCTGCAGAAGGAGAGAGCAGATGGAAAGAAACACCTGCAAAGTCTCAGGTGGGCAGAGGAGTGGCTGCCCACTTTAAGCCTTTTACATTAACTCTTGTATACGTTTCAGGACCACACCCAGATTGCCCATATTTTATAGATGTGGTAGCTAAGGTATATGACATTAATAACTTAACCTGTGTTTACACTGCTAATGCAGAGCCATAGTTTGAACTCAGTGGGGGTAGCTCCAAAGCCCATGATACTTGCCACCGCACTATTACTACAGCAACACAAGTGTTTCTGACTATTCAGACAGATTCTCTGACATGCTGTTGTACCAAAAATGCCGTTATTGGCTTCTTCATTTCTGAAACCCAGCATTTGCCTATTCAACAAGTTTTTGGTACCTATTATGGGTTAGGTTCTTAAGGTTTTATTTTGCAACTATCTTGTTTATCTGTATCATTCACCACACTAAGGTTCTTAGTGAGTTAGACCTTAATATAACACACTTCCTACTCTTTACAATTTTTAACTTAACTCATAGTTTAGTAAACATAGTATAACATGTAAAGAATGAAAAGAACAAAATGCTGAAAGTACAGAGGTATTATATTGCTGACTATTTCAGGGATGAGCACATGCAAACATGATATTTGAGTTGTCGTTTTAAGTCTGATTGGGAGAAATGCTGGGATAGGGACACATTCCAGGAACGGAGAATAGAATGTGTACAGACTGGGAAATGTGGGCAACAGTGAAGAAATTTTTGGTGTGTTGGATTAAGATGACTAAGAAAAGATGAGGTTGGGGTGGCAGTTGGAGCCAGACTTGGAATTCAGTTTAGACAGGTAAGTAAAAACATTATTCAAGATTTCCCTAGCAAAAGCATACCCAATTCCTATTGAATAGGAGTGGAGTTTGGACTTTAAACAATACATTTCTTTTCTAAATGAAATCAAAGTAAAGAGAAAAAAGACTTGGTATAATATCACTGTCTTTGAGAATACAAATCACTTCAGTGTTTAAACAACTGGTCTGTTTTTAGTTTTCTTGTTTTTCAAAGAGTGATGTTTCAACCAGCAGCAACAGCAGCAGCACCTATCACTTGGAATCTTAGTAGAAATCCCATCCCAGGCCAACTGAATCAGAAACAAGTAATTTCAGTATTGTTCTAACTCATACCCCATTATGAGCACTTCCTACCTCTCCCAGATTATCATCTGCACTTACCCTATTTTCTCTCAGCTTAACAAACCATCAAATTCTAGGTAATCACAGCACAAATGGACAGTTCCTTGAAGAAATGTCAGTTTTGGGATTATGGGCTTTTTAGAAATCCTCTTTAGGTCAATATATATTAAAAAAAAAATACATGCAAAACCACATAAGGAAGGGTATGTTAAGCATTATAATTATTTAATTCTGACTTGAGTTGGATGCTATTTCTGATCTCACATTTTTTACAGTGTTGTTAGAGTTTTCTAAGAATTGGTTTGTACATTTATAAAGCCCAAATTGAAAAGTGAAGAGAGTCCCTTGGGTCGGAAACTTTGTTTCCCGTGATGCAGAAAAATAAATGGAAGGAAATAACATGTTGACTTGAAGTACTTTAAAACCTCAGGTATGCAGTGTGGATCTAGCCTTCTGTGTTTGTGACTCACTACTGCTTGTTGCCATTGCTCCTCTGGAAGCCTTTTGGCACATAGTTCCTGGACAGTTTATCCTCTCTTGCCTTCCCCATCCCACTTTGAAAGTTCCCTTTCAAGCCTTCCAGGGATAACTATTATTCCAAGAAGTTAGAACAGTACACCTTGTAGGAGACTGAATTCCCATGATAAGGCCCACACACATGAAGTGTGTACTGCTTAGTGAAATAACTAAGCAGTTTACAAATCTGGAAAGGAATTCCTAACAAGCATTCAAATATCCATTGCTAACTTGCTATACTCTAACTGTGGTTTTATCACTGTATATAAAAATCATTTCCTTCTATTTGCTTAATAATTAAGCAAAAATTGGTTATCAGGAAAAAATGGGGAGAAGGGAGCCTTCCCTGAAAAATAATAGTAAAAAAGTAGCCAGGAAGAATATGTCAAGCATTATACTTATTTAATTCCTACTTAGGTTGGGTGGTATTTCTGGACTCACATTCTTCACAGTGTTGGTAGAGTTTCTAAGAATTGGTTAGTAAGTTAATAAAGCCCAAACTGAAAATTCCATCTCTTTATGCACAGTGCAGCTCCCTTTGCAATCTACAATCCGCCAGAAGCCCAGAGTTCTTTTCAGCTAACCCTCAGAAACTAGGGACTCTCATGCACAGACTGGGCTAAAAGTTACTAGGGTAACTTTTTTTTAACTAATGTTTTTTATAAATAAAGCTTATTTTTACATTATTTTGTGCCTTTTTCCATCTTAGTTGTAATCCCCCTGGGCTTTCCATCACCAAATCACCCGTATGCCTAGTGCACTCCACCCCTGGTTTTGATCCCATTCTCCACTTGACCCTGTAAAATGTCTCTGGTATATAGCTGTTCATTATTATTATTATTATTATTATTATTTTCTCCCCTGGTCCTTTATACCCTACCATGAGTGAAACCATCCAGTTTTTTTCTTTTTGTTTCTGGCTTATTTCACTAAGCATGATACCTTCCAGCTCCATCCATGTTGCTGCAAAAGGCATGAGTTTATCTTTTTGATTGCTGAGTAATATTCCATTGTGTAAATGTACCGCATCTTTTTAATCCAGTCATCATCTTTTGGGCATTTGGGTTGATTCCATGTCTTTTCTATTGTAAATAAAGCAGCAATAAACATGGGGATGCAGGTATCTTTCTGAATCAGTGTTGTTGTATCTTTTGGTTAGATATACTAGGATAACTTTTTAAACATACATAGGACCCACCTCCAGAGTTTCTGAAGGTGTAGGGAAAAGTCTAAGTTTGTATTTGCCCTCTTTCCCCAGCCACTGTCATCTAAGGAATTCTGTCAACAGCCTGGAAGATCTGGGACAAGGCCCAGGCATTTGTATATATAACAAACCTAGTGGGTAATTTGACACACTTAAGACAATTAAAGAACTGCCCAAACCTTTCCAAGAATTTTTTGCCACTCTTAAAGAAAACAATTCCAGGGTTTTCCCACACAAAACAGAAGCAGATGACATTAATGTGCAAAGTTGCAGTACTTTAGCATTTTCCAACAAATTCCACTGCCATTTCAATATTCAAATTGTTTTTTGTAAGTGGATATTCTGTCTGAATTACCAACTAATTATACCATGGCCTAACTGTACAAATACCTGTAAAATTAATAGCTGGGCCCTCCCTGGTGGCGCAGCGGGTTAAAGCACTGCACTGAGAAGCTAAAACCACTTCTGTGTGAGTTGGATCCCCGCCTGCCCTAGAGGTGATCATGTGGTGCCGTCAGACCTCTCCTGACCAACCTGCTGTTCCCCTCAGCAGTACACTTTGACGATC